GCGTGCTCCCAAAACCCGATATGGTCCTCTGCTCCCGCCATATCTGCCCCTCCCACTGACCGTACCTATCACACCACCCTCTGTTAACCCCCCAGTCTCCTCCCTCACCACTCCGCGCCCCCCAGACAGGACTGGCCTTGGCCTCAGAGAGGACTCCCCTAAGTCCCCTCGGGCCAACCCCGAACCCCCTAAAAATTTACTAAAACACCCCTCTAAGAAGACACGTAATTTTCTTTTCCTTAGTTCCCTAGTTGCTGTTGCTGTGTGCCACCTCTCGGGGTTCCACACCCCTTCATCAAGGCAGGCCCTTAAGATCGTATTGGGCCATGCCTGCGCGATGGGGGAATCGCGCAGGGCCAGCAGTTCCTTCCTGGAATACAGTCCTAGTTCACATCAGGAGGTCCAGCAGCAGAGTAGGGGAGGGGGGAAAGTCCTCGTGATGGTAATCCTAGTCAGGGGCTTAGATGGATCACAAGAAAGCAGCACAGTTCATTGTTCTTCTTAACCCCCATAGGGGGGGGGAAATTGCAGTCAGAGTCAGCCAGGCCCCAACCGCGCAGGCCTCCAGGCACGCCAGACCCCAGTCGCACAAGCCTCCAGGTCCACTCCAGGCACTCACCGCCAAGCCCTGGGTCCTCCATCAGGCCGTGTCCCTCAGGCAGACTCCTCCTTTGGGCCGCGGCAGGCCGCATCCTTCACCTGGGCTACCAGGCCGGACCGCCAGGCCGTCGGGCTGACTCCCCGCCGGATCGCGTCTCCCACTGGGGCTTGTCCTTCGCCCGGGCCATTATTTCGCCCGGGCCGCTGTGCCACTGAGCCGGCGTGTCCTCCGGGCCGTTGTACGTTGTGCTGTTGGGTCGCATCCCCCTGGGCCGCCGGGGCGCCAGATCGCTTAGGCCGTCAGGCCGTTGGGCCGCCAGGCCGCAAATTTTCGTCAGGCTGCCAGGCCGCTAGGCCGCAAATTTCCGCCGCGTTAGGCTTCTCCGAGCCGGGGCCGCCACCCACGGCTCCGCCCGTGGCTCCACCCAGCCACAGCCAGGTGGTCACGCGGCCCGTTGCCAGCCTTCTTCGCTCGCCAGCCCTCTCCTCTCACCGAACTCAGGCCGGCGAGCACCCCCGACCCTCCGGAGGCTCCCCATCTCCGCCGAGGACCCCGCGGAGGCTACGGAGCCAAAACCGGTAGGTCCGCCATCAGCAATCAGCAATCAGCACTAATCAGAATCACGTAAATGAGATGGCTAATGTAGAACTTTGATAGATAGATAGATAAATAAATGCTTCAGATAATCATTTTCACATTAGCCTGCCTTTGCTTCCTCCCTATGATTAAAAATTTAAGAGTTCCTGATAATACCTTTCTTCATATTTTTGTTGCCTCAAAAATGAAAATTTACAATATATATTTCAAATTCATGTATTATCTATGAGATAATATGACATTGATCCTGGTTTGGTTTGGTTTTCTCATCAGGCTTTCATTTGGAGCAACATCTTAGTGAAATTGCATTGCAAACAGCTCTTTCTAGTTCCTCAAGACATTATGCTGGCCGCTCTTTTCAGATATTTCGGGCTCTAAAACAGCCACTTTCAGCACATGCATTGTCCGATCTGCTTTCAAGATTAGTGGAAGTTATAGGAGAACATGGAGAAGAAATTCAGGTATAAATACAATCCTATCTTGTCTTTGTAGAAACCCAAAAAAATTGCCTTTCATTGTTGGACAATCTAACTCAGTGTTTTTCACAAGGACTAGCAGTTTCTTTGCTACTTTTTTCTTAACTTTAGCTTAGCAATATCAAGAGTATGCACTATTTATCATAAACAGTATCTCTTTCACTATTAATTCCAAAAGTCATACTAGAGTATATTTGAATATTTAATGAAAAAGTGCATTTGACTATTTAATGAAAACTAAGATTAGGCAGTAGACATTTATGATTCACATTACTGGTAGTAATGGAATGATTATATTATTGTTGGAGCTGCCCAGAGTTGCTTAAAATGGGTCGCCATAGAAATAAGTAAAATAAGTAAATAAGTAAAATAAATATACTGAAATGATCATATTTCTGTATCTTTGGCAGGGTTATGTTATGGAAGCCCTTCTTACATTAGAAGCCACTGTGGATACTCTGTATGATTGTCTGAAGAACAGCGATCTTTTGACAGTTTTATCACGGTAATGAGTTTTCTATTCAATTAAAGATAACATTTTTTATAAATTTTTGGCTATAGAATTCAGAATGCAACCGCCTGGACTAGTTCGGAGACTCAAAAATGAGTGCCATTATTTATGAAGGCTCACATATTCCTGTTTCATTAGATAAGCATACAGTATTTAGTTTTCTATGTCCATTGGGAAGTCTTTCATCTGGATTTCAGCTGTGATAACAGCTGCAACTGCGTCATTTACTTCCCCTGTGAAATAAATTATTAGAATTTTAAAAACTGAAATAAAGCATCTACTAAAATTGGCATGGCTTGAGGCAAAGTCGCCTCTTGTGTCACAAGCTTCCCACCTCAGTTATGTTACATTTTGCAATGATTTGCATATATTGACATTTGTGAGTGATTACAAAACATTTGATATTGAAATGCTAGTAGTTTCCTTGTTTCCCAGCAGTAAAGCATAATAAAATCTGAACCCTTTTAGAGATGAACAAGTATTACCTTCACCTTTATGTTGTCCCCTGTCATGTCAAGTTACTAGTTTGTTGGTAGAGTAGAACGATGCATGAATAAAGAGAAAAAAGAGAAACAGAAAAGGAAATACTCTTCTGAATGGTGCGTGAAAAATGAAGCCAACAGCCTGGGTTCAAGACCCAAGCATCACACAACCGGGTGAGCGCCTGTCTTCGCCTAGCTCCTGCTCGCCTAGCAGTTCAAAAGTATGCAAATGCAAATAGATAAATAGGTACCACTTCAGTGGGGAGGAAACAGTACTCCACAATATCATGCTGGCCACATGACTACAGAAACGTCTTCAGACAGTGCTGGCTCAACAGCCTTGAAACAGGGATGAGTGCTGCCCCCTATGGTCAGCAACGACTAGCAGAGTAAAGTCCACAGGGATTCCTTTCTTTGACTCAGTGCTGTATTGTATGCATTTCAAATTTTTCATTATAATTTTACTCTCTGCTTTCTAAAAAAGTTTTCTTAAAACATAGAGGACGAAGATGGCTTACATAGTGCACTTGTGGGAGTTTAGCACAATAATTTATTTTCCTTGAAATCTGGCAAGAAATCAGGACACAATCTTGAAGGTCACTAGTGTTTCAGAAAAGAGTCTGAAGGCCTTAATTAGGAGGGCAGATTACCCTTTACATCAGCAGCCCCCAATCTTTTGGGCACCAGGGACTGGTTCCATGTAAAGAGGTTTTTCCGCAGACTGGAAGGAGTGTGGTTTTGTGTGCTGTCTGCATCTTGCAGATGGGGCTTCGCTTGTTTACACGGCCTGGTTTCTGGCATGTTGCGGCCCTGTGCTGATCCACATACTCGGGGTTGGGGACCCCTGCTTTACATACTTGTTATTAGCTAAGTCTTCTCTCCCCATAAGGGGAGACTTTTCATGGAGGATATAATTTGCTATCCAAATGATCTTTTAGGATAATGTGAAAAATAATATGGGTCTAGTGGGGTGAGCCTTCTTCCTCCTTGCAGGAGAGGGCGCTTAGGGATGTGCTAGAATGGGGAGTGAGGGTGCACTTTTCCTAGTGATCCATGGCTTCTTCTGTTCCCCCCTCCCCCCAGCAAAGTGGCAGTTAATTCCATGGATCAGTTGAGGAAGAGGAAGAAGCTTCAGCAGGCTCTTCTGAGGGTATCGAGGGGAGGGAAGCAGCACAAGCCTATACTATATATGGAGAGAACAAGTCATGGGTTGTTTAGTGTTAGCTAAAAGTTTCATCTTCTTATTTAATAGTTGGAAAGGCACTTAGCAGTCCTAGTTTGATTTAACCAGAACCTGAAGATAGAACTATTTTCAAGACCATTTTGCTAGCAAATGTCCCTATTTATATCCTTTGTGGTGTTGCCCACGGACCACTCTGGAAGACTTTTCCTATAAATCAGGTTGCCTATTGTTTATAATTTGCATTTCTATTATTTGCCTCTAAGTTGCTCATCTTACTATTATAAAATTGTAAGGACATTCTTATTCTTTGTATGTTTTTTAAAAAATAATATTTCTATTTTGACAAGTGTTTTGCCAATTTTATCAATTAGATATTGCACATATTCTTATTTTTCATAATTTATTTTTTTATCTAAAGGCACAAAATACTGTGTAGGACAATGAAATTATTTCCCTCATGTAGCGGATGATCAATGTTAGTTCCTTCTTTTCTAATTTGTCATTTGTTGTATGTTTGTCCAAATTATATTATTTTTATTTATTTATTATATTGTGAA